CACTGCCGGGACCAGCCTGGGGAGACAAAATTCACAGACAACCCTAGAACCGCATTTCAAGTAAGGGTTCCGTTCTTCTTTACCAGCAAACCTTTAACCAGAGCTGGCAGCAAAATTATTGAGTTAACTCGGCTGGCTAAGGACAGTGCCAGGGAGGTAAGTGAACAGATGAAAGCTCCACTCCCTGCCCACGTGTGCCAGCCAGCAAGGGCACTAGGTGAGCCCGTGGAGCTGGGTGGCACGGCCCACTCCTAGGCCAGGCCCAGCACCCGTTGAAAAGGCCAGATCGTGGGAGAGCCTTCTCTCAAGGTCTCTCTTTACCTCTCCTCCCTGCTCTCAGGAGGTGGTACAAAACAGTGGGGAACAGGACGGATGGCTCTGGTCAGTCCCAACTGACCAAGAGTTGACTCTGTTTGTTTGGCATGTAAGCATCTGGCCTAAAATCAACTGCCAGTCAAGCTTTCATAACATCCAAGGGCAACCCAATTATTCAAGAGCTCCTCTGGAATTTTCAAAATAAAATAGTTTAAATTCACTTTTCATTTTTAAAGGTAATAATACTTGACCCCCGGTATGTCTTATGAGGTAGCCTGTCATAGTATCAAGCAAATGACAACAGACTACCACTGTGCCTGGGTCTAGCTGGCAGCCACTGGCTTCCACGTAAAGAAACTGGCTTGCTGTTGAAAGCTGAGAAGAAAACTTATGATCACTTTGAATCCAGAAGCCCAAATTACTTGGAAAATTGCTAATATTTGGCAAAACAATTCAGCAATTGTCTAAAATGCTGAGGGGAACTGAACTATAACCTATGGCCATCCTCCAGGTAGGAAAGTATAAAACAAAACCCCCAAACTTTTTGTTAAAGATCAAATTACCAAATTAGAGGAAGGAAAGAAATGCAGCTGCTGGGGCAGATTTGAATTTCAGTTAAGTATTCCAATATCAGGCAATTTTCATCAAAAACAAGAATTCTCAAAGAACACAAGAGAACACGAGAAGCCATAGAAGGCAATGAAAGGATGGATGGAGCAGGAAGCTAAGGAGGCTGCGCCCAGGTGAGGCCGGAGGAACCCCACTGGCCCCCAACCAGCCAGGGACTCACCCCTCCACTGAGGGAGGGGCTCCCCTCCTCACGTGGACACAGGAAACAGCGTAACTCAGATCAGCTCTGCCTAATAGGAGCTCTCTCACTGTCCTTAGCTTCCCTCACCAAAGCGAGGCTGAGCTTGAGAATTTCAAGAAGGAAATGCTTGTTATCCAGGAAGTGGCCTGGCCAGGCCACCCCTGCCAGAGGTGGATGGCTTCTCAGTTTTTCCAGAAGCGTTGATGGTGACAGGATGATCTCTGCACATCCTTTGGCTAGGTCCCCAACTGCAGCCAAGGGCCCACCCTTCAAGGTGGATGGAGCAAGGGCTGCAGTAAGAGCCAGGCCTGACGGACTCTGGAGGTTCCCTGCTGTTGGGTCCCCTGAGCACCAAGCCCCCATACAACCCCCCTGAAGCTGTGGCTTGTCCAAAATCTAGTTAGCAGCACAGGCCCAACTGGAGCCCAGGTGTCCCAACCACAACCACCAATCTCCAGCCCCTTCCACCGTGTTTCTTTGGCAGCAGCATAGTGGAGGAAATCAAACCCTGGGTGGAGCTAGGCACTGCGGCAGACCCTGTGGTGGACACTGCAATAAAGTCCAAGAACCCAGAGAAGTGAGGCCTTTGACCTGTCAGGGGCAGCTTCTTAAGGGCACAGAAGGGAAAAAAACAAAAGCAAGTTTATACTCGGAGGGAAACATAATCTGTGATTATAAATATTTTATGAGCAAAGAAAGCAGTACTGGCTGAGAGACTAGGGTGTGGAGGGTGGACAGCAAATTAGATCCCAGTTTGCAAAGTGATAGGGCGGCTGGAAAAGCAGTAAAGCCGAGGCTATTCTGGGCTGTGTGCTGCAAGGGCCTGCGTCACCCACGCAGTGTGGGCCCTCGCCAATGGCTTTGTGGAAACCATAGCCTTCCAGTGGTCAGCAAGAACACCTTGGGAGGAGTGGTTGAGCCCATGGAAGACCAGAAGAGAGGACAGCAAGGACAGTCATTTGAATGACTTGGGTAAACCTCAGCACCTGGGAGGTGGGTGAGGGGATGCAGCTGAGCGGCCAGTTCCCCGCAAACTCGATGATGCAAGGATGAACACACTTTCTGCTGACTAAGGGTGGGGGGAGAAGTGAGCCTGAACCCAGAATGCAGGTGACCTGCAAAGCTAGACAGCAACTCAAGTCAAACCGCCCCACTCAGAGCGAAGGTCCAGCCCCTGAGCAGGTAGTGCGGGGCCAAGAATATCAATTCCACCTTTCCTTTACCTCAGGACAGGGGTCTCTTCCTCCTGCAGCCTTTGGGAAGCAGCCCAGAAAACAGGGAAATTAAGAGCTTGCTGAGTACCAGCTGCTGCAGGTGAAGAGACACTCATCACTGGCAAAGCAGGCCTAGTCTGGGTGTGAGTCCTCCTCTGTGGCCAGTCAGTGCTGCAGCAGACCATGTCCAGATCCTTCCAGAGGCCAGATGGAGAGGGACATTAGTTCCTGAAACACCTAGAGGTGCTTTAAATGGAGCTTAGTCGGAGGAGCCCTGGGGAGCAGTGCACTCACTCCTCTACCAGGAAGACAGAAACTAAAGCCTGTGTTCGCTTCCTTGCAGTTGAGGCTTAATGGGTGAGAGGTTCCAACGTGGATCACACTCTGCTAGGACCACAGCTGGTGGTCAACTCAAGCTGGAGAGGCTTCATCAATGGCAAACGACCCCACTCGTTGTGGGAAGACCTGAGTTGGAAGTCGCAGGATCAGGCTTTAAGACTAGCCTTGCCACCTCTTAGATGTAAGACCCTGAGAAATCATCTGGCCTCTGAAACTCAGTGTCCTCATCTAAAAAACAGGACCAGTGCCTGCCACACTAAAGGAATGAAGAACACCAAGAATATGCACATACACATAAATGCTTTCAAAATAGAAACTAAGTGCTATTCTAAGTGATTATTTATATCCAGCTACCTACTTGACATCTGTTGGATTTCTCAAAGGCACCTCCATTCAGAGCTGCCACTCCCCACTCCCTGCACTTCCTCCTGCACTCTCAGGCCTCTCCCAGGGCAGCCCAGCTCAGAGAGTAGCAGGACCAACCATACAGGCATGGAAGCCAGAAACCTAGGACCCATTCTTGGCCCTCCCCTGCCACAGTAACACATTACCAAGCCCAGTCAACTCTGCCTCCTAAAGGCTTCTGCTCCCCTCCATCACCACCATCCCAGTCCAACATATCTTGCCCAGTCTCCGACAAAGCCTCTCCCCATCCATTCTGGCCTCCCTCGGCCCCTCTCCATGTTCCCCCTCCTACCACCCCCGCCCTGCTTGCTAAATATGCTGTTTAATACAACAGTAGCCCAGTGCCCTCCAGATAAGGAAACCTCCTTCCCAGGGGCTTACGAGGCCATGCACGGTCAGGCCTGCTCCTCTGCCAGCCTCGGCCCACACCATGCTCTCCTTGGCTCTCCCTGCTCCAGCCACAGCGGCGTTTTCCTCAGTCCCCGGTGGTCACCCCATTCCCTCCTACCACAGGGTTTTTGACATGCTCTTCCCTATGCCTGGAATATTTCCCCCTCATCTCTCACCTAGCCAATGCCGATCCATTTATTTTTACTAAGGTATAAAGCATACAGCTTCATAATTAGTTACAGATGTATACACTCACCTAACTCCCACCTAGACCTAGATTTAGAACACTTCAGCACCCATAAGGTCCCCTCTTGCCCCTTGTTCAACGGTCTACACTCCTGCTGGGCCCCCGGGAACCACTGGGTCAACTTCTATCACAATGCCTGTTCGTTCTTCAGAACGCAGCTGATGCAACGCTTTCTCAGAAAGCTGCCACCAATCCCACTGAAAAAGTCTAATCCCTCCTTCACAGGCTCTTGTTACACTTGGGGGTTTCATTTGTTCAAGTAACTGTGACTTGTGCCCCTCCCCCAGGACACTGTAAGCTACAGAACAAGGACGGTATCTGCTTACACTCACCTGTTTCCCAGTGCTGGCACACGCTCAGTGATGCTAACAGAAAATAGCTAATACCTGTCAAGTGCTTAGTATTGCCAGGAACTTACAGGTACTAAGTCACTTAGTTCTCACGTCAGCCCTACCAAGTATGTGCATCATTTTATCCCCATTTTACAGGTGAGAAAACTGGGAGACATGAAAGTTAGATAACTCACCCAGAGTCACTGAGGGGTGAATGGCGGAGTCGAGATAAACACCCAGGCAGCCTGGCTACAAAGCATGTATTCTTAATCATCATGCCACTCCACCTCTGAGGAACCTGGAATATCTAGTGAGTAAGTGCCCACAAGATAGTTTGAATAAATAAATGAACAAATTCATAAATGAGTTGATGAGGTTCTATCAAAGGAACCAAGGGGAACCCCAGGCCTCCCCAAGGAAACCAACACAAAAATGGAAGACAAACTGTCACTGAGTCACCTGCACAGGTCCCAGACTGAGTCATCTGCTAAACACAAGGACTAGCCCACCACCCCAGCAGTGAGGGGGGACGTTTTCTGCTATGGGCACAGAGCAGCACTTTGGTCCCTCTGGTCACTGGCACAGAAAGAAGAACCCTTTGGGTACATCCCACTAATTAAACAAGTCACTCTGCTCCTATTCATGCTAACCCAGTTATCCTCACAACTACTTCACACCTCAAGCCCTCTGACACTGGGAGAGGACACTCTGAATGGGAAAAAAGGGGGATGCCTGGTTAGAAGCGACAGATTCCACCATGCATCCATAAGTGGGCTTTCAGTCTGTGCCTCAGGCACTTTCCAGAGCCTGAGACCCCTGGAAGAGCTCAGGGGCTGCTCCATGTACACACTGCTGCCTTACGTGGCCAGACATGGGTCAGCCACCTTCTAACCGCCACAGTGCCATTTACCTGGCAACCACATTTCCGAAAGCTCAGGGAAGAAAACATACCTAAAAAAGTGTTTATTTCTCACAGGACACTGTTCCCCAGCCACAGGGACCCAAGCTCCCCATCAGCGATGGCGTGGTTTTTGGAACTGCTCCATTCGTGAGCCCCACTGCCGCCAGTGGCCTGGGCTCTGCTCACACAAAGTTCTGAGCAATGGCCAACACCTTGGAAAATTCGCCTTCCCTCCGGCGTAGGCTGGTGGGGATGGGTGTCTTAATTCGGGTGCCCACAGGGTTCCCATTGTCCTCAATGAGGACCACGTTGTTGGAGTCGAACCTGGGGGTCATCCGAGGACCGGGCATGCGATGCCCCACGATGAGCGCCTTTTTCTTCTGTCCTTTGATGGCCAGCAGTATCCGGTCACCCACCTTGCCCACCCCACTCTTGTTATACACGTGGATGCACCGAGGAGGGCGATGGTATGGGGTGTTGCCCAGGGCACTGTTGTCCACCACACGCACGCGTGTCATCTTCTGAATAGCACTGAGGGTCCTGGTGGTGCTGATGGGAAAGGAAAAAGGCTGAGGTCTGCACCTCCCCCGGTCAGGGTGCAGAGCCTCTGGGAGGGCAAGGCTCGGGAGAGCATGCACGTTAGCCATGGCGCTGAACAGGGAGCCACCAGGGGCTCCGACAGAGAGTCAGCGGCTTAAGGCCTTCTCCGTGCTCGAGAAAGTGTCCGCACAGACAAGGTCTGGACTTGGATGGGCATTAAAGAGAACCCAGTTTTCTGTTACAACATACTTCAGGGCAGCCTTAACTTAAAGGCTCTGACTTCCAAAAGGACTCTGAGGATTAATGAAATACCTTATGGGCCAGGCCTCACCCACTGCCTAACCTGCAAAACCTGCTCCCCCAGATATACTGATTCCCAAATTTTCTCATCTATGTGTTGCTGGGAACCAGAAGGTATGAGTGAGCAGGTTTGCTAAGGGAGTCCCTTGACACGACACAGCAGAAACTGTAAATAAGTCAAGGTAACAATCTTTTGTTTTAATGCATTTTTCCCCACTAGAAAGGACTTTTTTTTTAATGAGCACCTATTAAAGGCAGATAAGCTAGTATTAAGCAATCCAATGACAGTGGGATTTCTAGTTTCTGCAAGTAGCACCTTAAGCACTGAATGTTCTCCAGGGTAACCCCAGGCCCTCTTCTTTCACTCCACATGCCTGCTCTGGGCAATTTTATCTGTTCCTATTGCTTCCAACTAGTAAGTTCCATCTCCAGCCCCATTTGTCTCCTGCATTCTAGTCCTGTATTTTCCCTCTGAACTCACTTGTCCTACAGACACTGCAGACTCAGGAGGTCCCACACTGAGCTGTCGCCTCCCCTTGCAATCCTCCTCCTGCGCTGCGTTTCCCGTAGAGACCATGACTTCGGAAACTCCAGCACCCAAGCTGTACTCCCTTCTCTCCATCAACATCCACTGCTGCTGCGTCCCGCTGATACCATCTCCTCAGCGTCTCTGTCCTCTCCCTCCACCCCATCACTTCCTGAATTCGGCAACTCACTCTTACACCAAGACATTAGTGTCCTAACTGGTAACAAGTACATTTCACTCTGCCAACCAAAAGCTCTTCTTAGAATATAAAACTGAGGCCACTCCCCTACTCAGAAGTGTTCAATGGTTCCCTGTTGTCTACACTGACAACAACCTGGCCCCAAGTTACCTGCCTTCTGAGGTCCACCATCTCCTACCACTCCCCACACCTTTCGAGCCCCAGTGGCCACGAAGCCCTGGAGCTCTGAGCACGCCACGCCTCTCAGCCCTCCCTGGAGGCCTGGATGGGCCTGCTCCCTCTTCCCTTCTGGGAAGGCCACCTCCACTCTCCTTTCCTCCCCCGACTCCAGCTTCGTTAGCAGCTCTGGCCTCGGGCCTTCCACAGCAACACACAAACCTCTATTCTTACACTTGTCACATTTTCTTAGAGTTATTTGTTTCCAAGTTTGCCCCCATGGCCAATTGTGAGAACTCTTTCAGGGCAGGAAGCAATTCTTATTCCTCTCTCTATGGGCAACCCAGGCACAGTGCTTAGTGAACACTTGTGAACACTTGCGAAATGAGCGCATGAACAGGGCCAAAAGGCACGTTTGCCAACAGGAACGTGGCCTGTGTCCTCCCTCGGCTCAGTGTCTAACAGGAGGGGAGGCCGCCACATTTCTATCATGCTTGAGCTTTTTATAATAAGCATGTAACTTTTACCAAATGACTCCATTTCTAAAAGAGAAGGTTCTAATGCACTGGAAGAATGATAAGGTCGATAGATACCAGGTTCACTCTAAGTCTGGCAAGGACTAAAAAGTTTCATCTTTTATCACATGCTGTTGCCCATCCCGCTACTAACAGCATCAGTACCTCCTTGTCTATGCCCCTCCCCTGATGGACCAAGCCCCGGCTAAGTCTGATTCTTCTACCTTCCCTGACCCCAAGCACACCTCCTGGTGTTTCCACTTCTGTTCTAGTCACCATAACACCCAGCCCCAATTGGAGACTTACTTGAAAGATGCAGCTTTAAGAACTTAATGGGAAAAGTTACCTGAAACAGCGTTGGCTGAGTGCTCTGCTTACATGGGCGAAAGGACCCCAGAGCCCAGTAAAGAAAGCCATTGGATAGCAAGGGGGAAAATCCTGCAGAAAAAGAAAGGGGAAAGGATTTACTTCTGAGTCAGTGTCCTTACTCAGAGCCAGTTTTTGTTGTTGTTGTTGTTGCTGCTGCTTTTTAAATAAAACACTGCCAGGGACTTGTGTGGGAGATGGCACTTTCAACACAAAATCATTAGTCACTAAATATAAATCTTAGTGGTTAAAAGATATAAAGATGATTAGCTGGAACTCCAGCTACAATTTTGCTGATTCATGTATTTTTTTAAATCCTCATCTGAGGACATGCTTACTGATTTTAGAGAGTGTAAGGAAGGGAGAAAAAGAGGGAGAGTAACATTAACTGGTAGCCTCTCGCACGTGCCCCAACTGGGGACCAAACCCACAACCCAGGCCTGTGCCCTGACCAGGAATTGAACCTGCGATCAACTGAGCCATGTTGGCCAGGGGATCAACTGAGCCATGTTGGCCAGGGCTGCTGATTCATATTCTAACTGGGCTCAGAGAACTGGAATGACCCACAACAGATCTCGCTCTAAGAAATACAACAGTTCAGAGAATGCTGTCCTCATCACAACACCTCCACAGGCTGGGGAAGCACTGATCCTCTGGTATAGTGCACAGCCAGAGAGCATCTTCCAAGTCCTCTGCAGAGAAAATCTCCACACCACTGCCCTTGCTGACCCCCGTGGCCTCCTGAGACCAGCACTTTTACTCCCTGAAAGCAAGCAGATTATCTGAGCACCTGCCCAGGCTGTCTGTCACCACATCACCTTTCTCCCCAATGTAAAAACCAGAGCACCTGGACAGCTCAAGGCTAGCAAAGTGGAGCCCCAGGGTGCCCTGCCAAGTCCCTGATCAAGGTTTCTATTTGGGTCAGTCTCCCAAACTACCGCCCCATACTGCAGCTAAAAAGGGGGATCTGGAGGGCAGGTTGGAGATATAAAAGCAAATACCAACCCAACACTGATGACTCCGGCTTGCAAAACCTCAACCCGATGGCTCCCTAGAACCAACAAACATAAAAATCCCCAGTTTCCTGCAACATCTGGGCATTAGCTAGGAGCATGTTTAAGAAAAACCTTCAAACAGCTACTATTTCCTGCTGCACAACACACCTGTTCTTCCCTCTGAACATCTGGCTGCAGAGGGCCTCATTCAGGTAGAGCTCTGTTGAGAGGCCTCTACCATGGCAGTGTCTACACACAGTTCACAGCACCGCAGGTAAGATTTCAATTCACCAGAGTGGGGGGAAAACTTACTATTTACTTCCACAGGAATATCTAGAAATACACTTCAGAAATGCCTTTTAACTGTAATTTAGCCTCAAATCAGAAGCTTACTTTCCAGTGTTTTCTTAATGACAACACAGTAAGCATTGGCCAAGATGTAATTATGATTAGAACAGTAACTGCAAAAGAAGTCAGAAAACACAGAACTACTAACATCTGACACACAGAGCCAAGGACTATCAGAGGAGGCACGCCTCCCCTTTACAGCTAGGCACCCCAGCGAAGGAACTATGTGACACGTACGGCAAGACCTCCTCACAATATGATGAGGAGATAAGCCATGCAAAGCACAGGACACAGTGCCCAGAACTCAATACCTGTTAGCTGCCTTCATCATCATCATTATCTTTGTCATTGTCACACCAACAGTAGTCACATCTCACTTCACAGATTAGGAAACTGAGATATAGAGACATGAAGTGACTTACAGAAAGCCCCACAACTAGCCAAAAGCAGAAGCAGAACCAGAACCAGAACCAGAAGTGGACCAGCTTCTGTCCAAGCTTCTTTTTACCACACCCTCCAGCCTCACCACACCATACAAAACTCCCTTCACATGAGGGAGCTCCAGGTAAGAACAGCTCTAAGGGTAATCTGGTAACTTTTCTGTTTCCTTTATGAAAAGTTATTGAGACTAAATGCTTTACACTGTTGTCTCATTTCAGCCTCACAAAACCCTATGCAATGGGCACGGTCATTTGCCCCAGTTTGTACATGAAGAAATGAGGCTCAGAGGTGTTAGATCACGTGTGCAGGGTCACACAGCCAGGAGTGAAAAAGCTGCAACATTAACCCAAGTAATAGCTCCCTGAATCTGTGCTCTTAACAGAGTTAACATGGTAACTTCAACTTAAACATTAATAGTTTTCCAACTGTTAAGTCATCCTCGCTCCATCAAGAATAGTGACATTGCGGGCACATTTTACTCAAACCCAACTCAATGCCTACCAAATCAACTGAGATGTAGATGAACACGAGGTGAAAATGATTCACTTTAACCCAATTTAAGTTTTGAAAACAATCTGTAGTGTTGGTGGCAAGAGGAGCTCCATCCTCTGAGCAATAATTAGATATCAGCTTTAAAAACAAAACAAACAGAACACAGCTCTGAAAAGCATTCCTTCTGGTCCAGGCTGCAGTTACCTGCAGCCTCAGCCAAGTATTTCCATCTGATACCACAGACCCTTGCTCTGCCCTCCAAAGAGAGGGGGCTCCTCAGCTCAGCAGAACCCTCGAGATTAGCCCAGCACCACTGCACGTCCTCTCCTGAGAAGGGGACAACCTGCCTCTCCACGCCACTCTGCTTCTTCAATTACAGTTATGTTTGTCCAAGAACTGCAGAAGTGCCTGGGGGCTTCCCAGAACTTTCCGGACTTGGGTATCACAAACCCCACCACCCGTTGCACCTCCCTAAACTGTTTGGGGCAGTCTGAACACACGCCCAGGCCCAGGCCCAGGCCCCTCCCCACGCTGCGCTCACCAGCCCTGGGTCCAGCCGGCTGTGAGTGCAGCTCCTCTATGAAGCCTTGTGTAAAAGTGCAGCATCAGATGCTACCCTCCCCCTCCAGCACTGAGGACATCTGGGCAGCCCATGCCATAGGAACTCTTTCCGCTCCAATTTCCACGATTCAAACACAAACACTGAATAAATTTAGAGACTTTTTTTGAAATAAAGCTGATATCCTTTAACATTCTAGTTCTTGGTACTCACTATCTCAAACTCAGAAAGAAAAAAAAAACCAAGAATCTCGATCATCTGGCAAGCAAACTCATTGCAGGAATTCAGGAAGCACAGATTCAAAGGGCGAGGATTGCTTGTACTGCCCTCAAACACAAGAGTAACACATTCCCATCTCCAGGGAGCACTTACGTTTTCACAAGAAAGGGACTGATTTCAAAGACTTTTCATGAGCTTTTGGTGGGCCTAATGGTGAGCTTCAGATCCAAAGGATGTGAAATGGACAACAGTAAGCCTTCCTATGAACCTGAAAGCACAAAAGAACCAAATCAATTCACTTACTGCATCGTCAAACCCTTACTCGTTACAAAAGTAAGTCTGTCCTCACCACTCCCACCCCAGCAAAAGACTGCAGCAGGTCCTCATGGAGTAGTAGTGCAATAAACACTTGCCGAATAAAATAAATGAAGTAGCCAACACCGACGACAACAAAACCCCACTCATGACTCCAGACACACTGCAGAGCACTTATCCGTCTATCACGAACCGGGTGCTGGTCTTGGGAGGGGCAGCCCATGCTGTGTTTGCTGGCCCCGAAACAAATCTCCCTGGCCTGGCACCTGCACAGCCCACTGTGGAAAACATCTCATCCCACCACTAAATACCTGGTTTGAATCAGGGAGGAATAATGGAAGCAGCAATTTACTTCAAAGCAACTTTGGCCCTGATGCTATTTCCTAACATAAATCCATCCGCAGACACAGGCCCTGATTCACTTCAGATGCAGTCTATTTCTGATATTTTGTTTCAACATTGAATTTTATGTTTTCATAAACAGTAACCCCAGTGATAGTTCCTCCTCTACAACACTCTCATTCAGGGAGGGCCAGGTGTTTAGAAGACTCCAGTGCCAGGGATGGCTTTTGAAGGCACTTTCCAGTCAGCACTGAGTATTGCCCTCCAGGTTTAGACTATGAATCACAACCTCCCCAGAAGGGGGAAGGGGAAGAGAGGGGGCTACATAAAGGAGGAGAGGGAAAGAAAGGAAGGGAGGGAGAGAGGGAAGAAGGGTGGAAGGAAAGGAAGAGAGGAGGAAAGGGAGAAGGGGGAAGAGAGGAGGGGGAAGGGAGAAAGGGGAAAGGTAGGGAAGAGAAGGGAGATAAACTACTTACTATACAATCCAAGAGCCATGCTCATTTTCTACCCTGATTTAACTTTAACATCTCCCTTCAACTGTGGAGGCCAGGAAAGATCGTATATTTCAGGTACATATAGGTGAGTTTTTCATTTGGGATCGCCTTACAGATCCCATTGCAATGATGCTCAGAGAGGGCAAGGGGCTGTGCCTGCCTGCCTGCCCTGCACGGTGCTGCAGGACCCAGAACAGTGCCTCGCACACAAATGCAGCTCAGTACCTGTTAAGTGAATAAAATTAATCTGCAACTGCAATTCATCCTCCAGCTCCAGAAGGCTCCATGCTGAGGGACTGATGATCTTTCTCATGCCCAACTCACAGGCTCCCAGTGACTTGAGGGAGCCTCCTACACACTGAGAGCTCATTTCTAACTAATTTCAATACACAGACTGAGCTGAAGAAAACACAAAGTGCCTACACCTCTGATGCTTTGTGGAAAACGGGGAAGTACCATTACGTGTGCTGAAGTTTATGGAAATGTATTTAGTATCACAGACCTATATATAATTACAGATTGTTTCCATATGAACAATTTCCATCTTTAGGTAAAATATATTATATAAATTTCAAAATCCTTTCAAAAGGAATGGACTCTGTAGAAGAGACTAAACAAATAAAAAGGTCCACAGTCACAAAGGAGTGCTTAAAGGAGATTCTGCTACTAAGTGAGATTCTGCTACTAAGTAACAGCACGGGAAAGAAACACAGAGAAATCAAATGCAACAAGAGCCACAAAAAGGACAAACTCCACAAGCCTGAGGATGTAAATGTCATTCTTAGCTATAGCAGGGAAAGGCAGGTGCTCCGAGGCTTCGAAGAATCCAGAAAAAAGAAACCCCAGGACCATGACATCTCCTGCAGTTTTCACCCCAATCATTCTGGACCAACACATGCTCTTATCTGTTTCTTAAAAACCCATTACTGTTTTGTTGTCCAATGATCCTCTTTCAGGAATCTTTTTTAACCTCACACAAATGTAACATGTTACAATTCTCAAGTACTGCCACGCAGATCACTTTCTTGGATGATTTCATTCCCCAGCACCCAACGAAAACAAAAAGACAAATAGTAAAGAGCAAGTCTGCAGGGGATTGAATCAGTTAAGGACTTTGAATGGTTCAGGGGGCTCAACAGTGTAAGCACCATTTTGCAGACTAGAAATGAAGCCTGAAATACTAAGCAACTTGTTGACCTTTCCAAGGTTAGAAGGCTGTTCCTATTACAACCCGCACAATACCTGCACAGCAAAGATGCTACTTTAACCACTAACCAAGTACACAGAAAAACACACACCCACACAGGGCAAGGACTTGGTTTTCTCTCTCAAGGCTGTCATGTAATCTTAAAAAACTCAGGAATTAGAAAACCGTCTTTTCAATAAATATCAGCACTCACTCAGCACAGCCTAGAGCAAACGCTGAAGCTGACCTGATTCACATGTTAAAGTGAGTCTTCCCAGTGTCATGGTCAATAAGCAAAGTGCCCCTCAATAGCATGAGGAGCTGTTTCTGCCAGGACTGCCATGAGGGCCTCATTTCTCCATTTGATTCACAAAAGAAAAATGTTTCCAGGGCTCTTGTCCTGTATTTGTTCATCTATTCACCTCTCCCCACCTTGTCACAAAAGTATTTAAAGCTGTTTTTCTTAGGTATATCTGGCAATTCTCAATTACTCAAACTGGTTTTTCGATGTGTAGATTGTATCTATTCTGGCTCTCCTCCCTCTCTACCCCCACTTCACAGATGCGGAGACATCTATAGTCTAGAAATAAGTTTGTAATAATCGGTATGGTCAAACTCTGAGGAAGCGCACAAAGCAAAGTCCCATTCTACTCAATCATGCCCATTTTTCCTTCCTGTTACCACCTCTAGTGGGCCAGTGGCAAGGAGCCAGGTTTACAGTGCTGTCAGGTAGGCAGATGGGTAGTGGAGGAAAGGAAAAGCCGAGAGGAGTCCCTGGACTCAAACAGGAAATGCTGCTGATAGAAACCATATCTCCTCCACTCCATCCCCCGCCTCTACTGCTAAGTCTGTGACCTTGAAATCAACTTCTCCAGGCCTCAGTGACTTCCTGCCAAGCAAGGGTAATTGGAAAGAGCAGAGGCATAGAAGAGAATGTGCTTTAGCCTCACTCACTTAAGTGGGGAATCTCTGTCTGAACTGACCAGTAGGGACCAGGTCTGCAGGATAAGAAGTCTGTTTTCCAAATCTCCAGCAGGGAGAAGAGCCTCACTCCCTGCTTTTCAGGGCAGCACTATAGTTCTCACTTTAAGATGACTCAGCCCTAAAAGCGTTTTTCAGCCTAAAGCAGACGTGGAAAACTGCTCCCCTCTCTATTCTAGGGGTGCAGATGATTTTTTAATGTTTCTAACAAGGAGACTTTCCCACTCTGAGTTGTTCCACTAGTGATAGGTAATCCCATACCTTTCTTGGTAAGAGAGCATATTGCATGACCCGGAGCAACATTCCTGGAGTCTGAACCATCGTTCTCCCCTATGTGCTGGTTGTTATTGTTAACACACATGTAAAACCACACCAGGGTAAGCTACAATCCAGAACAAACCACCAACCTTTAGAAGGAAGGCTAAATCATAATCTGGTTTTTGAGACCCTGTAAGCTTTCCTAGAGGCATAAAAACTAAACAACAGGAAAATCCATCCAATGTGGGTCCAGGTGTCATAACAGCCAGACAGGAGTGGGGCAAGGCAGGTTTTAAGAACTCTTGAATCATCCGAGATTCTAGTTGCTGAGGAGAGCCTAAATAATCATGTTCATTGTCCATGAGTATACCTGATGAAAAATGGACTCCAGAAAAGATTTTTGCCCTTCACATTCAAGGGCAACAATAAAACATTTTGGCCAGTGTTCCTTCACGAATTCCACAATGCACTTAATTCTATTTCCATTTCAGGCTCTCTAAAATGTTTCTTCTCTCCACTTGTTAACATGTGGTGACCCTAATTGGGCACTGGGAGAAAAGATCAGGAATCCACCACATGTTCCAATTCATAACTGCATTTTAAAAATAATAGTAATATATAAATGCCTTCAGTGATCCTCAGAGATCCAAAAACCAGGTAACTATGGCCTCCAGTTCCACTTTCCAGATATGCATCACAAGTGCTATTTGGCAATGAATCATGGACATTTTACAACCATAAAATCAACTCAATCTGTAAAGTTTCATTGGAAATATACATGTACACAGCTCTGAGGGTTAAATGGACAATTCCACCCCTCCCAAAAAAACAAAACAAAAAACAACTAGCGTAGATGCTTTTTCATCTAAACTGTTTGCTCCTACCCAAAACAAAACAAGTCCGAGAATCCAAACCTACAAAGACGGCTCCCACCAGCAGTCTACCATAGACAGCTTCACGCCGCCTTCCTTCCTGTTCTTCCTAGGTAGGCCAGCCTACTTCCTACCCCGATGAAACACTGTTCTTCAACCAAACAAACTTCCAATAAATGAACTTTCTCCTTGGACAGTCTCCTGCCTGAAGAAAGAGGCCCGCCCTGTTCTTTACTGTACATTCCTGGTATGCTAACTGCATCCTCAGGCTGAGGAAGGCAAGAGGGCAAACAAGAAGATACAGAAGACCAATATGTTGCAAACTTTTCTGTGACGCACAGAAAGCAACATTTTCTAACATCTTTTAATTCACTCACACGTGTGTGTATACCTGAAGCAAGTGTCAAGAAATAATACCTACCCTTACCAAGGACAATGCACTCTGATATCTTCTATTTCTTTTTTCTTTCTTTCTTTTAATGACTGTGATCCACTGAACTGATTTCCCACGAACCAACGGAACTCAGCTGCAGAATTCAGTTTGAACTACAATAAATCAAAACTTATAGCTTCGTTCCACAAGCTAACCCTTTAAAAAGCCAGCAGCTCACACCACCAGACGCACGGATGTGGGCAGGACCCTTCCCCTGCCCAGCTGCCCAGGTTTAAGCCTCATCCAACCTCCCAGCTTTTCTCAATAACTCAAAATGATTCCGCCATAGGCCCTTTTGTTAACCTCTTCATAAATTCAGTCCATTCAATCTCTTAGGGTAGCAAAGTTCATTTACTGCCCGCTGTGAAAAGCAATATTGCCCTTTTTGTCCTAAAGCGATCCACTTCAAACTTGAAGGAAAGAGAACCTTCCAGGAAGCCAAAGTAAAATGACTAAGTTGGTACTCTGCCTATTTGTGTGGGCGATACAGTCCTATACCTGTGCATGCTCACGCACGCGCGCGCACACCTATCTGTCTCTATCTTATCTATGTATCCAGTCTTAATCCCTGGCAGACGCAGCCTCGGATGAAATTAGAAACCAGGGAACCCCCTGGAGCCGGGGAAGCACTCATCCCCACGACAGTCACAGCAGCGGACGGACTCTCCACACCATAGAAGTGCCTCAGGAGTCACAAAGTCACGTCCAGACCCGAGCTGGGAGGGGGAGAGGACAGGAGGAGGCGACGAACTCGAGAAGCCGCGCTCGAGCGACCGGCCGAGGCACCTCGGGAAGGCCCTACCGCGGCCCGCGCCAGACCGGGCCGGCCCCAAACTCAGGGAAGGCAGGTGAGCACCCGCCACAAGCGCGGGGCGCAGAGGCCAGAGGAGCCCCGCAGCTCTCGGGGGCGGGAGGGAGGAGCGTCTGGGTCCGCAGCCTCCCATCTCCGTCAGGACTCCTCCCGCAGCCCCAGTGCCCCAAAGGGCCCCCTGTCCGCCCACTCAGGGAGTGCGCCCCCCTGCTGCCGACAAGAAAAGAGGGGAAGTAAAGAGTCGGGAGCCGGACGCCCCCGCCTCCGCTCCATACCGCTTTCGCCGCTCTGGAATATCCCGCTGACCGCCCCACGGGCCCAGCACCGCCTCCCCCCGCGCCCCACGCGGCTTCTCTCCCTGCGCCTGCGCGCCAGCCACAGCTGGAAGGGCGTGAAAGGAGAGTGCGCGCGCGCTGTGCGTGTGCTGGCGTGGGGGCGGGGGCCTAAGAGGCCCCGCCCCTTCCCCTCCCTCCTCCTGCTCCCCCTCCCCCGACACTGCCGCGGCCGCCGCAGGAGCCTGGAGCTCGAGCGGCCCAGCGACTCCCCTCCCCCCGCCCCGCCCCGCCCCAAGCCGGGGCTCCGTGCCGGAGCTGAGTCTGCGCCTGGGGGTGAGTATGCGACCCTTCCCCAACCCCCTCTCTCTTCTTTGAGAATCCCACTGCCACCCAAAACAAAACCCCAGACTCAGCTGCGCGTCCCCTCCCTTCTACCTCCTGCGGGACCCAGAGGTGCCCGGGCCCGCGGGACCTACTGGTGTCGCGCGCTGTCCCCAACCCCACACCATCTTGAGCCAAATGTGAGTCTTCCAACCCCTGCTAGGGATCCAGAGGTGCAACGCCTTCTGTCCCCACCCCTCTGGAGATCCAGAGGGGTGAGACCCCCGCCACTCTACAGCCACTCTTCTCCCACCTGACGGGTCCAGGTGCGCCTCCCCTCCGCGGCCCTCCGGGGTTCCAGCTGCGCCCCGTCCACCTGCCGCCGCTGTGGGGAACCTGCCGCCCCCGCCCCCGAGTTTTGGATTCCAGGGTCGCCAAGTCCGCTGGCCTCGGTTTCTTGTTATTTTCTCCTGCTCCTGGGGCCGAGTACCCCCGAAGCCGACCCCCCGAGGCAGGGTTTCGAGCTCGGGCAAGGACATATTTCGCGGGTGCTGACTGGCAGGAGGCTGGCCGCTGCCCCCAGCCGGTCTGGGGACTGATCGGCGGGCTGGGGAGGCGGCGAGCCCTAGGAGCGTGTCGTGTCCTCTCCTTGCGCCCCACACAGTGCAGTTCATTCATGAGGCGCCCGGGCCTGCGTTGGAGGGTGCGGTGGGGAAAGGATTCCGCACGGAACCCGGAGTGGGGCAAAGGCCCAGTGCGGGGCAGGGGGCGCGTTTTGTCCCTCCTGGCCTTCTTGACCACCTAGAGAGAATAGTCCCAAAGCTTTGGCGCCTTGTGTCCCAGAAGAGAAGGGCGCTTGGGAAGTGAAGAGGAGAGGTCAGAGGGGCCCGCTGCCCTTGGGGCTCTGTGCTGCCACCTTCCTGGATCCCCTAGGTGGAGATCTGGCGGCTGAGTACTGCGCTTCCCGGGAGAGAAGGGTGGAAGGTGGGGGCAGCTAGGGTTTTTGCCTAATACCATTCTCTATCCTCGCTCTGGGTCTGCAGCAACCTAGGAAAAATAAGACTGTGCCCAACCTCTCCTGAGACGGGACCCCTCAGTCCTGCCTCCTTGCGAGTAGGGGAATGGGAGTATCTGCCAGGCTTCCAGTGATGGCGTGCTGGCAGCATGACTGTCCTCTAGAGCATCAGAGGGTCCAAGCCCTGGCATGCCCAAGTGGCACATGCTGAGGCCTGCTGTCGGCTCACCCAACTCAGTCAGGGTGGGTGGGTGGGGAGGTAGCAAGGCAGAAGGCAGGTGGTGGGTAGCTGAGAACCCCCTTTTGGACATAGTACAAGTTTCCTCCAATTATAACAGCCTTGGAGAGCTCGGTTCAAACCCCAACTCTGCCATTCTTTAGCTGTGTGACCTTGACAAGTTACCTAACCTGTCTGAGCCTTAGTTTCCATTAAAAAGTGTATTTACTATCACTTCCTTTCAAGATTTATCATGGGGATCAAACTAGACGGCACAGGTAAATCTGGCACCCTGCCTGGTAGTTGATCAATAATGAGTTCTGTCCTCCGAACTTCTGACCCCTTCTAGTGTAGCATCACCCTCCCATGCTCCCACCTCCCCCTCCTGCTACGGATGGAACGGATATAATTGAAAAGTTTAGGAACATGCCCTGCCTCTCAGTGGAAGAGTCCCAAATGGGATATAAGCCCTTAGGTCAAAACAAGAAGCCCATCCTGGCTGAGGGGCTCTATCATATTAAATTCTATGCTTTCTTTTATTTTGATTTTTAACAGTTTTCCTCCACTAAACCTATTACTTTTAAGTCCACTCCATATTAATAACAGTAGTTAATTTTTTAGAGCCCATTATGTGCCTGGAACTGTATTAAAAGCCTTATATAAGTTATCTTTTTTTCATCCTCAAAACCACCATGTCTGAATTATCCCAATTTGCAGACGAAGGAACCAAGGCCCAGGATGGTGAGGTAGTTTGTGAAGATCAAGCCAGATCTGCCTTATCCTGGAGCCTGTGCTCCTAACCACCCGGCTTTGTGCCTTGCTCCCTGCATCTGCCTCAGAACCTAAAATCACAAACCTAAGGCCTGAGCGGAGAGTCTGGGAGCTACAAGCAAGAGGGAAAGCAAACAGGTAGAAAATAGGGTGTGGCATTTCTCCGAGTGGAGGGGCAGTCCTCAGCTCTGTTGGAAGGGTCTCTGAGGTTGGCCCAGGCAGCAAAGTGCAGTGGTTAAGAGCATAGCCTCGGATCAGGTTGCCTGGGTCCATATCGGTATCTACCAGAGCCTGGCTGCGTGAACAGGTTAGGTACCCCACCCCTCACCCCATACCCACCCACCCCCATACCTCACTGCCCTCCTAGAGTTGTGATGTGGAGTAGATGAATTAATATTTGTAAAACTCTTAGAACAGTGCCTGGCACAGAATAAGAGTTAAAGAAGTATTTGATTAGTGCATTCTTCTACTAGTTTTATCCTCATTCGTGCATACACTTTTGCCCATCCCTTTGAAGTTAATAGGGGCAGAGCAAGGATACAATTCTGTTACAGATTAGAAGACTGAGGCCCAGGTTGCATAGTAACAGCTAGCCTCTGCCTCCTCCCAATAGACATACTGCCTTCCTCTGAGCCCAAGCCTAAATTAAATCTTCCCAAGTAACTCTGTAAGAAAAAACTTGTAACTTAAACCTCCCCCACCCCTACAATGTACACGCTTCTTAATGGTAAAATAACAACCTTCAGTTAGCTAGAAATAAAATCTTCCATCGCTCTCTTTACGAAATTCCAGCTAAAAGCCTTGCGTCGGGCTAGAGAAATTCTGGGATCCAGCTGGCTCCAGCAACTCTGTGGAATGGAGGAAATGCCCTCCTCCCCTACTGTCTATCCCACCCCCCAAATTCGGCTTCATTCTTTTCCCTCTCGGCTGCTCTCAGTGAAGGAACAGCCGCCCTTGGTGAAACTCAGCCCAGCAGCCCCACCCCCACAATTAAGAGCTTGGAGCAACCCTGTCAGCCAGCAGGGCCACCAGCCCTGGCTCCACCCTTTACCTGCCCTGTGACGTCCTGCAAGTGGTTTCTCTTCCCTGGGTCCCTGAAAATGGGAATAATGATCTGATGGAGCTGGCCCTGCTTTCCTCAGGTGTAGGTGGGAAGATCCATGCCATTTTGGAGGCAAGAGTGCTTTGCGACTGAAAAGGAGTCCCCAGATAAACATGGTGATCTCAGTTACTAAGCGTCTGCCTGGACTCTCCCCACCCACACTACCAGGTTCCCTTAATGTAGAAACTCCAAGAATATTCCACACCTTCCTTCCAGGAGGAGAGGATGCAAAGGGGGCTGATGCGCCAGGGGTTTGTACCCATTACACTCTGGCCTGGTGGCGCCTTGAAGTTGGGAAGAGAAATGGGCAAGGAATGAGAATGGGCTGTATTGATTTCTGGAGTGCATTGGAGTTGGGAGTTAAGGGGGAAACTAATGTGCATGCCCCTCAACTACCACAAACCCAAGATATCTATACCTACCTTTACCTTCCCGGCCCCCGTACCCCAGAGTTCTGAGCACCGCCTTGTGTTGACACACTCAGCCTCCCAGACAAGCCCACATACACATCCCCACTTAGAAATCAGCACTCACTTCGTTTCTGTAGACTGCCATGCAGTCACTTAGCTTCCCCCACACACAAATGCACACCACGTGCACTTACAAACCGAAACACATGCGTGCCCACAGCACCCCGATGCTCTCTGGCCAGAGGACATTTCATGAGCTCATGCAAAGCTTCCAGGGTCTGCAGAGTCCTGTTCTAGGCACACCAGAAAAACACTGTGGCACCCTGAAAAGTGTTCTAGCCTTAGAAAGTCAAACTAGGTTTGAATCCCGGGTCCATCATTTTATTACTGGTGTGACTTTGGGAGTTACTTAATCTTTTTGAGCCTTTGTGCTGTCATCTTAAAATGCCAGTGACATCCAACTTAGGATTGTTAAGACTTAAATGAAATCATTTAAGTATGTATTCCTGAAACAGTGGTACTCGATAAATGGCACTTGCTACAATTACTAAGTTAGTGTATGGGGAGGGGGGGGGTTGTTCGTTTTTTTTTTTTTTTTTTAAGGCAATTTAGGCTGGGAAGGAAGAGGGAGGCATAAAACCCAGGGCAGTTACTTTCTTAGCCTTCCTAACCAGCTTTTCAGAGACTCCCTGGGACTGAGTGGAACACATAAACAACTCCAGCCCCCCTCTCCCCTACCTAAGATCTGGTGCCTCGCCCTGCAGTTGAAATGTTAGAGGGAGGCAACGACTGGTGGGCAAGGAAGAACCCTGTAAGTCACCCCAGGGGGGCTGGGAGACACTTGCTCCCAGAGTTGCAGTCACCGATGCTGGGTTTGTTGTTCTCTTTGTCTGCTTTCTTTTCTTCCCTGGAGACCCCCCCACCCCCAAGGCAGAGCTTCAGTGTTGTCAGCAGAAGGGGTTCCCCAGGGGCCCTCCATTAAAACGGGGGTGGGGCAGTGATGCCACGGCCGCACTTCGGCGCCCGTGGGAGCCTCCCCAGAGCCCTGCTTCGCCCCGTCCTCAGGCACTTCCAGAACCCAGGTGTCCGGGCTGCCTGCCCCTTCCTTCCTCCTCCCCACCCCATTCCCTGGGACCCTCGACCATCCAGGGCTGAACAGCCTGGCTGTGGCAGGAACCCGGAGTGGAAAGCACTACCCCAGCAGCAGAGGGTTTGGGCGACCTAAGAGGCCCCCGCCCACTCCTCCTTCCTCTGCCAATGGAAAAGCTCG